CTTCAGTTTGCTTAAGAAGTCAGTACAAATAAAAGCTGAGGAAAAAAGAGTAAATTTTGTAATTACAAGGTGATCAGAAGCAAGCCCAAACATCTTTCCTTTTTATTTTTCAGTTCTCCCACCAATAAATCTTAACATTACACACTGTATGGAAAATGTAAACTGCATGATTTTTCAATATTTAACTAATTGCATGAAATTAATATGTAGCACATAAAGATAGCATTACTTAAAACAGTTCACATGGGCAGAGGAAAAAATGGTTGATTATGTGGAAATGGGATTATAGAATAGTCTTTCATGCTTTAGCAGGAGTGAAAAAGACTAGCAGAGAGGACAGTATGTATTGATGAAAAAAATGATGAAAGAAATTATCAAGTTCTAATGGCATCCAAGGGTGAACCATAATACCAACAGGATGCCTTATTTCTTCATTCAGTCATTGTTGCATAACAGCCAGGAATTGCTGTTATTTGTTGAGACATTGACATACTCAAAAGGCCAGACAACAGGATGGAGCTAGCCAAATACCCTACAACCTATAAATACTTCCACAGAGCCTGGGATGTACTGTGGTTGTATTTCTTAGGGTATGTCTACACTACCCCGCTAGTTCGAACTAGCGGGGTGAAGCCTGGGATTTGAATTTCCCGGGCTTCATTTGCATAAGCGGGGCTCCGCCATTTAAATCCCCGCTTGTTCGAACTCTGTGCTGCGCGGTTACACGGGGCACAAACTAGGTAGTTCGAACTAGGCTTCCTAGTTCCAACTACCGTTACTCCTCGTGGAATGAGGAGTTAACGGTAGTTCGAACTAGGAAGCCTAGTTCCAACTACCTAGTTCGTGCCGCGTGTAGCCGCGCGACACAGGGTTCAAACAAGCGGGGATTTAAAAATGGCAGAGCCCCGCTTATGCAAATGAAGCCTGGGAAATTCAAATCCCGGGCTTCATTTGCAAGTGCGGTATGCCTACATTACCCCGCTAGTTCAAACTAGGAGGGTAGTGTAGACATACCCTTAGAGCTATACACCTAAGAAAGAACAAGGCCAGCCACTTAGGGTATGTCTACACTGCACATTTATTTCGAAATAAGATATTATTGAAATAAGCTATTTCAGAATAACTATTTTGAAATTGCACATCTACACTGCAGGGAAGCCTCAGAATTAGTCAGAGGCAGACTTCCCTAATGTGGACATGCTATCTCAATTTAGAGCCCCAGGAGGGACTGGGGAGCAATAACTTAGCCCCTCACCAGGGCCATCCTATTTTGAAATAGCAGCAGTAAAGCATCCACGCGTGCCGTATTTCTAAATAGCCATTTCGGAATAGGCATTATTCCTCATAGAATGACGTTTACAGATTTCAGAATAAGCCGACTATTATTTCAAAATAAGGGAATGCCTTGTAGACGATTGCATTGTTAGTTCGAAATAATGCTAGTTATCTCAAAATAACTGTGCAGTGTAGATGCACACTTAGTTTCCCTCTATAGAATCTGAGGCAGTCATTCCTTACCCAGAACGGTGGTAAAAGTAAAAAAGGGTATGTCTACACTACAGCATTAATTCAAGTTATCTTAATTCGCAGGGCTCGACAAATGCACTCGCCTATTCTCCCGTGGCAAGTAGATTTTTATCAGCTGGAGAGTGTAGGGGCGGACTGGCCCGGTGGGCAGTTGTGACAGGCTGGCCAAAGCCCACACTATGGCCGGCGTGTCCCCATCTGATCCGTCGGCTGGGCAGAGGAGTGAACTGCCACCGGGAAGGGGGAAGCACAGTGATTCTCAGGAGGAGGTGGGGACAGAGCCGAGATGGCGGCAAATGCCAGGATGCTGGTGTGACACGGCCCCGCTGATTTTAAAGAGCTGCAGCAGCAGTAAAGCAGCCCTGGCTGTGTGGCCACGGGAGCCCCAACGCCCCGCCCCGCGCCACTTTGTCTCCACGCCACCCGTTCCCCATGCCACCCCTGCTCCCCTGTACCCCGGACCTCCTGCTGTCCTTCTTTCCTGTGACTCTCTGGCTCTGAGCTGCCCTTGGGCCCTGCCCCCCTCCGATCCCTGCCCCCAGCTCTGTGCTGCCCGTTCCCTGCACTGCCCCTAGACCCCAATCCCTTTGCCCCTCCCATTCCCCGCGTCCTATTCCACGTGCCTCCACCGCACCTTATACCCTGTGTCCCTTTGGCTCTGTGCCTCCCATTCCCTGTACCACCCCTGTACCCTGCCCCCACTGTTCCCTGCACCTCTCTGGCTCTGTGCTGTCCCTGCACCCTGTTTCCCCTGTGGGTCGGGAGTGAGGGGTGCTTGTCCATAGGGAGGGGCTGGACAGGCCAGGGAAAAGGCTGCTATGACCCAGCATGGAATGAAAGGGGGAGTTCACTTGAAGCGCCTTTGCCTATAAATTTGCTATTTATAGGGCTAAAACACTGGGACAAAAATGAAAACAAACAAACAAAACCCCATTGCAAAATGCAAACGTGTAAAAGACAACAAAACAAGGGGGGGCGGCCAAAAATATTTTGCTTGGGGCAGCAAAAAACCTAGAGCTGTCTCTGGGGGAGGGGGAGGGGCTGGACTGGACTGTGGGGTGGGGAAGGGAGGGGAGGGGAAAATATGGGGAAGGTGCTTGTGCTGAGGGGAGGGGAGGAGAGAAAGAAGGGGGAGGGGAAGCTCCGGGGTGGGGGGCTCTCCGGA